ACACACACACACACACACACGTTTTCCCTATCTTCTTTCAGCAGCTGTGGTCAGAAAATGCCGCCACTGCTGTAGGGAAAAGCACCAGCACCAAAAACTAAAAACGGTGGTGAAATTACTTAAAAAATAAATTCCTCAACAACCACTGCGGTAAAAAAAAATATATTCAGAGGAAACAGCAGCTGCCCACAGGTCTGACTCACATACTCATGCTTACAACTACTATGATATATACTATCCACTACACACATTTACACACAACTGAATATCGATATTCATGGTTGAAAATGGCAATAAATGTTGAGATTTTACAACAGTACAATCCTTTTAAATTTTCAGACATCCAAATGATTTTCGTATTATTTTAATACCATGTAATGTTCCATCATTAACTCGTAGCGGTTAAGAGAAATATACATATTTGTAAAAGCATATTTCTTTTGATTCACAATTATATTATATTAAACTGTGTCAGATGTAATTTCAGGAGAAAATAAAATATATGCACTTGAACACACATGCAAGAACACTAACACTTTCATTCTGGTTTAAGTTTTTTTAATTTATTCCGATGTATTTCTGAAAATATGAATCCCCAACTAAGACATCCATACCATAGCAAACAGTAAATGTTTTTGATCAGAGGCAGTGTATTGTTACTTAGCAACCGCATCACTTTTCTGACTTTTAGAACTAAATTGCTGGGAGGAAAAACAACATACTCTAGATTCATTGTAACCTGTGGATGCTCCAATTCAATCAATGTGATGCTGAGTGTTTTTGTCCAATATTAAGATTTTGAAGGCCAAGGACAAATGGAAGATAACTTACTAATTTGTTTATTTGTAAATAGCACTAATGAAAAATAAATTAATCTTAGGATCTTAGATTTATCCAAAATCAAAGACAAGCTGAGTAACAAGAGACACAAGGGTCTCATAAGGATAAGTTATTCCAACAAAACCAGGTTAAAACTTGGTAAATGCAAGGCCTGTTGTAAATGTATTGAATTGAGTATGACGTTGGAAACTGTTCTGCAATACGCAAATTAACAATATTTCTGACATCATTGCATTATATTTGCATTATGTCTAGTGTCAGCTGGTTTGAAATGAGCTCAATCAGACATTAAACAGACTTTGTACTTGAGAGCTGGCAGTCTGTTTAATTTCTGGTTAAACTGATTCAGACATTTGCATTGCTCCACTGAGTAATGTATAGAAAAATTCTGGGCTGCAGCAGTTTATGTCTGAAAGCCGCTTTTGTCTGTCACAGAGTGCACTGCCTCTGCCTGTGTCACAAACTGTTGCTTCTCATCTGCCGCTCACTGAACAGAAGTCGCAGAGAGAGATGTGTGGCTCTCTCTCTTGCGTGGCACCACTGGTAAGTCCCGTCTATAGAAAGTAGCTACGGTTTGACCATGAAGTCTTGTGATCCTTTGAACATACACATGGTTTGCTCTCGTGTGTACTGTGAGAATGACTGCAGACCTGTTTTGGGAACGTGCACAGCAAGAGCGAAATACCTGCCTGTCAAGGATGGTAAAAACTTTATGAACGTTTCAAGGGTCCACTGGGCCACTGAAGCGGCAGGATTTCTCCCACTGCTGCAGATGGCCAATTAGAATGTGACAGGTAGGTCAATGTGTATTGAGAGTGCAAGACTAGCAGGGCAAAGAGCACCGCACAGAGCTCTACAATGAAGCAGTGGCAAAACACTAAATACAAGATAATTCACATCATTACAAAAAATAAAATTCAACTGTGGCTGAGGGGTAGAGTGGTCGTCCTCCAACCAGAGCGGTTGGCAGTTCGATCCCAATCTTTCCCATCTGCATGCCGAAGTGTCCTTAGGCAAGAACCCGACTTGCCCCTAATAGTTTTTGGAAGTTGCTTTGGATAAAAGCATCAGCTAAATGATATGTAATATAATATAACTGTGTCAGCCTGTTGGTCTGTTTTACTGATGTGTGATTCCTCTTATTTCATGCTGCCTCAAAAATGTGTAAAAACAATTGTAGAATTGGTATTCGATTTTACACAAAACATATTGTTGACAATTAATGGTCATTAAAGAGTGTGTATAAAAAAATAAATGTGTGAAAACCCACTATACAAATAATTTACATGCATGCACTCTTTCTTTATGTGCGCACACGCACACACCTTTGAAGCATCAACAGGTGAGGTGAAAATTCGAGGAATGAGCAGAATGCAGGTAAGAGAGAAGAGCCGAGAGGCAGGAGAAAGAAACAAAAGGGTGGTAATTCTGGAAGAAAGGGGAGCTGCGGGATGTGTGGGCTGTGCTGAGCCATTTCCATCAGCCGAGGGGAACTCCAAAGCATAAAGACAGTTGCCAAGCAACTGAACACGATGAGGGAAAAAAAACACATACAGACCACTTACACGTGTGTGAGAAAATAACACATAGCCCGCACTCTGACATACAGACACATGCACACAAGGAGCCAATTACAAAGGTGTGTCAAATCTTTGCCTTTTGTGATTGGTAATGCTTATGCTTCCCTACACAGAGGCAATCCACAAACGTCTTTGTTTAATTCATCAACATAAACGGCAGAAAAAAATCTGGATCTGAATGTGATGGAAAAAACTGCCACAACAATGCTACTCATGAGCCAATTTCCTTTGCTTCTTACTGGTGACACCATGGTGAGCAAAATGGGACACACCTTTGTCTAACAAGCTGATAAATCCTGAATAAATCCAGTTTTTTTCCCTCATATCTGGCTATTTGCCTAACAACCATAGAACTGTGGTGATGATCATAAAAAAAATTTCAGGTGACATTGACAGTATTTCTCTTTGTTAGAGCTATGAGTCCTGAACTCTCAGATTATCTTTGTGAAACACTGTTGTGTTTTGTGCGTGTTACGTTTTTGTGTCTTCCTCACCTGGCCCAGTGCTTGTGGAGCCGCTGTTGCTTTGCAGACTCCCATTCCTGAGGAGTGACGGGGACTTTTGAATCCCACCGCTGACACCCATGACCCCCAGCCCCCTCTCTCCTGCTCCTCCTCCGACTCCCACCCCTAATCCACTGCTGGAGACTAAGCCTGGCCGGCCTGAGAGCGTCGTGGATGAAGAGGACGAGGGGGAGGAGGTGGAGGAGGTGTTGGCTGTGGAGGAGGTAGGGAGAGTCAGGGAGGGAGCTGGCTCTGAGGGCTTCACATCCGTAGTGAAGCAAGGTCCAAATCTGTTTCGCCAGTTGCCCTTCTTTTTCTTCTTTACCCCATCTTCCCCTCCTCCCGCCACTGCTCCGCCGATGCCTGGCCCTGGACCAGAGGGCTGGGGCCGTTTGTATCCAGTGGACCCACTGAGGCTTGTCGTCTCGCTTGCAGTGTGACTGTGGGAATTCTCATACAGCTTCCCGCCCACTGCAATGATAAGAAAGCACAGTGGAATATTTAAGCCTAGTCTCTGCAGTATTTTGCTGCTGTCATTTTCTGCATGTAAGGAACTAATGTTTAAGTTCTGCAATCTGAAAAGTACATGAATATGGAAAACTCTATATAAAACTGCTACTTGCTTCTGCAATGATTTACTAGTGTACTTCCATTAAGTTGTGAGTCTTGAAAAAATTGAAATGCAATACACAATACAGCGAAGATATACTTCTTCTGGTCCTTACTTTGGTCAAAGCTGAAAAAACTTTGGCTCCTACATTAACTACAACACAAAGTGACATACTTTTTTGAACCCTCCCTGACAAATAGAAACACTCAACTTTAATACTTCAAACCCATAATTATTAATGAAAGCTGTCTTTAAATTGCAGTTTTCAACCATGAATATTGATATTCAATCATTAAAAAAATCTAACAATAATAAATATGATAGATCCAAAACAAAGATTATTATATAAAAATACATCAGTGTACAGCTATAAATGATTAACCTGCAGAAGCTGTAGTAGCTGACACAAGAGACCCAAAAAGTGTTGTGGTTCCCTCTGAAGCGCCGCTTTCCGAGCTCGGCTTCACAAGGCAGCTGCTGAACGATGGCGGCGAGGAAAAGGTAGTTCCACCCCCGGAACGCAACGATGAGTCAGAGAAACTCAGGAAGTCTGAAGAGGAAGGGGCAGAGGGCGTCTTGCTGGCACTGGTCAACAGGAGGCCTGGAAGTAAGGAAGGAACACAAGTGGAAAATGGGAGACAATGACAGATGGAGAGAAGAGGAGACAGACATAGACATAGAAGTGAAGATAAAGAATGAACATGATAACAAAAGTGAAAGAAGGAGAAGAACAACACAAAGGAAACCGTCATTACAGCAGGGAAAAGTTTCCATACTAATCTCATTTTCATCATCATGGGAGCAGCAGGAACAAGATAAACATAACAAATAAGCATTTTATCTGCTTTCTGTTCTCTATCTGCTCTTCAGTCAGACCTCTCTCATCATGTAGTCCTCCCATGTAGCAGAACTGCCTTGAAAATACACATATGGATGGATACACACAAACTCCTGACAAGGGCTTCAAGGTTCTGATAGTAAAAAAAAAAAAAAAACTTGGTGTGAGCAATGACTTCCTTCAGGTACTGACCTCCCCACATGTTTTGTGTGCATGTGTGTGTGCGCGTGTGCGAGTGTGCATCTGTATGTGCATGCGTGCGCCTGTCTATGTGTGTGGAGATGCTGGGGCCCTGTCTGGGAACAGAGACATTACAGGAGCCAGAGGCCATTTGAGACGAAACACTGTTATCACGGCCACACACTTGAAAGTCTGGTGTCTGGGCAAAAAGCAGCCAATGACAGAGTATGTGTGTACACACACACAAAAACCCATGCATCACACTCTTATTTGGGTTTAAATAACACCGCTGTAATTTAAATTGTGCTGCAGTAGCATTTTTGAGTGGGTGAACAGAGCTTTAACACCAGATGATTTGTCATTGTGTTTCCATTTTTCTAACTGCAGGGTTAATTCCCCGTAGTGGGAAAATTAACATACGACACCATTTGCCACCATCAATTCACCTTGGTGGAAAGGCCCAGTGGAGGCAGAGGCAGATGTGGAGGAGGTTGCCATGGTGACCACGGCGGAGGGAAGGGGTTTCCCTGAGGAGGTGAGAGACTTGCGGCCGCCCCTCTGTCCCACCGTGTGACTCCCGCCGCTGTTCTTCTTATTCTTCACCTCAGCAGCTGTTTTCCCAGTGTCTGCAGCCAGGCCGTCTTTGGAGCCACCGCTGGAGTGAACGGAAGACACTTCCTGAAAGTTGGCGTTGGTGAAACGAGCAGTGCCGTCGTCAAGTCGCTTCTGCGAGGATGCAGGCAGGGAGGGGACGCCACCCCCTGAGCTGCTGCTGATGAAGGTCTGAAGGAGAGAGGTGATTGAGTGATAAAGAAAAAAAAATTATGGTTGAGAGAAAAAGGGAGGACAGGTACCATGAGAAAAACAGGGATTGAAAATGATCAAAACAATGCCATATGAGCAACGTCAGCAGGACGATGGGATGTGTGAGGGACACAGAAGAAGAACAACAAAGGTAATTCAAGGTGGGGACAAAAAAAGTCATCCAGTCGCTCCTGCTGTAATATTCAACCAGGCCAGCTACAAATCACCAAAGCAAAAGGACTGAAGAGTAGACAAATGTGCTTACCTTGTCTGGGACCATGATATTTGGAAGGACAAGGGACGGGGACATGTCCATGGGGGTCTTCTTGTGTTTTGGTTTGTGCCTGTCTCGCTCCTTGTGTTTCTGCACGGGGAGAATATGAAAAAATAGGAGAAACTGTTGGCTGACACTGCTGAATATATGATACAGGGAGGAGAGAAATAAAGAGAGAGAGAAAAATACATATAACCATGTGCATAAAAGGACCATTAGGAAAAACTGAATATGGAGACAAATAAAACCAAATTTCCGAATGTTTTAGGGAAGATTACAGAGAATATAAGCAGTGTGTGTGTGTGTGTGTGTGTGTGTGTGTGTGTTTGTTTTAGGTCAAGAGAAAGAGGGAGCATTGCATTTCAAAGGCTCGGTCTGAGATGAAAGCTCAGAGATCCACTAACACAAAGAGAGTGATGGAGGAGAGACAAAAAAGGAGACAGGAGGAATTCAGCTGCAGTTTAAAGCGGAGTGTGTCTAAGTGCCTCGTGGTGAAGCGCACAAGGTCTCATTGTTTCATCCAATCATATCCTCTTTCTTGGACCATCACTGTGCAATTTACAACCTCGCTAACACGCATACACTCACACACAGACAGACACGTGTTACCATCCACCGCACCCCTGAGGTGGCGACTGGTTGCCAGCGCATTTACACCTCACATGAACACCTTGCACCCTGACACCTCTCCCTGTATGTGCGTACAAGCAAGACAGGTGCACATACGCTCATACACACTCCTACATGGGCACTAACATCCATGCAGGTGCACATCCACACCGATAGACACACACTCAGGGAGATGAGCGTTGAAAATATGCAGCTATCCTGAGAGACGACAGGGGATTCAACGCGCTTGTGATGCTTAATGTTGTGACAACTCTGAAACACCAGTTCCCATCCCCCCACTTTGTCTCCCCTGAGGGTCTATGATTGCGTGGAGGCTGGTGACGGTTTAGCAAGACTTCCTCCATGTGTGGCAGTTAACAGACATCAACAGCCAAATCAGGAGTTAGCAGCCTTGCTTGTAACCTCTCTGCAAGCCCGCTTCCGCTGATGCCAACGTTCTGGGGGGTTACGAGGAAAACGTTGCAGAGTTCAGTTCACAGGTATAATTTTCAGGGTTGTGATTCTGACTCTGAAACAGGCTGCAAGTAGTTGTTAGACTTTTCATTACTTATTAAAATATTGATTATTTTAAAGGTATTAAAAGTTTATTCCAAAAGTTATCCTACACTGTCTGCCAGTATCACCAGTGCCTTTTACTTAGCAATCATTCAAATGGAATTATTAAATATGTGCATAATTTTTTACATCTTCTCTATATAAGAAAACTCAGTTTTTCTGCACTGCATTAGATAGAGATGAGAAATATTGACCTTTTAGTGAGTAGTTGCTTTTAGTTGAGGGGTTTTAACCCCCTATCACTTAATACCATACCTCCTTGATGGAGGGATGGGTCCTAGACAGAGGCCATTTAATTTTGGTGCGGATTAAGGATTTTTTTTACTGTCTTTAACATTTTTCAACATTTTCATTACTACTTCAGGGAATGATGCACAGATCTTGATTTTCCGCTATTAAACAACTATGTTTTTATGACAAAGAAATAATTTAGGTTTTTTTTCTTTTATATTTTTACAATAATCAGACATTCATGTGTAGGATTGTTCTGCTTTGGGGGTTTGTCTGTGCTCTACTGAGTGCCATTCTGTTTTTATTTCTATTCATTATTAGTTTAGTCTAAAAACCATCAAGCAGGGAAACATAACAAATACAACTTTCCTAAGCCCAGAGGGGTGGCTTAAAAATGTTTGTGTCAGACTAAGAGCGCTTTAAGTTTAAGATACTTAAACATCTGAAATGTAAGTGAAACAATGGTCGAGTTATTGTTGATTAATTATATCAGTTGGTTTGTTATATTAGCCACTACATTCCTAAGTGGCAACAGAGAGCAGATAAACAAGAGAAAAACAGGGTGTGACTGTACTGAGAGAGAAAATTAACCTTAACAGCATCTGCTGCAACAATAAAAAGTGATACCAGAGGGACACACACACACACACACACACACACA